GGAGAGGGAGTCCAGGAGGAACGAGGAGAGGGAGTCCAGGAGGAACGAGGAGAGGGAGTCCAGGAGGAACGAGGAGAGGGAATCCAGGAGGAACGAGGAGAGGGAATCCAGGAGGAACGAGGAGAGGGAGTCCAGGAGGAACGAGGAGAGGGAATCCAGGAGGAACGAGGAGAGGGAATCCAGGAGGAACGAGGAGAGGGAATCCAGAAGGAACGAGGACAGACAAAGGGAGAATTCCCCACACAGGCGAAAATGAAGACCAACCACAGTTTGACATAAATGTACGTTTCTGAGCTGTTAAGACTGTATTTTAAAATCTATTACTGAACTTTCTTTAAAAAAAGATTTTGTACAAAGTGATGGTTTGCATTTGTAAATTTTACCAGACTTTTTCAAATTTTCTGTACCACTTTTTTATAATTGTATCATTAAGTCTTTCTGTTAAGTTCTTCTTGGGAAAGACAAAGCTCTTTATTTTGTGAATAAAACCATTAAGATATCAGCAAAATGGGTGTTTTGTCACTTAGTTTTAAGTATTTGTAATTGTAACTTTACAGTCCAAAAAAACCATTGTTTTTTAATTTTGCTTGTTAATTCAAAGTCAGATGCTGAGACCAGGGTGATAAACAACAAATTTCAGATTACAGTGTGAATGTTACATGAGGAAACTTTACAAAAATTTTCAAACAGGCATTCTATATGTGTATATTCTTCCAACTATACAAATATGAAAAAAAATCAGTAAATACTTCAGTTGATTTTAAGATTTTTTAAATTGAAACCCCAGTGTTGCTGTTTTAAATGTCACATGTGAAAGTGTGTCAACTTGTTCTGTTACTTTTCACAATGTTTTTTAATATTGTGACATCCTGAGCAAGTTACACTTGGGATCTTAGGGGGAAAATGATTAGTTTGGTTTTTATTTTTTTAACTATGAATTTGATTTTAAAGTCATAGACTTCAACTTTAGCACTACAAAGGAGTTGTTTAAGGAACATCTTTCCCAGTATATAAAAAGTAAGCAAAATAAGAGGTGTTTCAAGTGTTTTTAGACATTTTGAACTACAGAGCCTGAAATGCTCAAGCTCATTGGAAGCAAAGTTTAAAATAAAAAAGCAACACTCAGTTGCTGCAGCAGTCTATAGTATAAAATGTTCTGTCTGAAGTCATGTGGACCAACTAGCTCTGTCTACCTTGACTGCATGAGAAATTAATCAGAATCATCTGATTAAGGCTCTAATTCTCAACAGTAAATAGCTAAGAAAAATATGGAAAGTCTTCTGGGGTGAAATAGGAAATAGTGTGGGCATGGTCGGTAGGAGAGAGAGGTGATAGTTGAACATTATGCAGTTGTTGAAGCTATATAACTACATTTTTCTTTTTTAATTTGTGAAATTAACACAATTGCTGAACATATGAGAACTTACATATTTCATGTGTAAATCATATTTCATCTTCTATAAAGCATAAGAAATATATTTGAGCTGTTTTATAACAGAAAATAAAACCATTCCTAAGGAAATAGATCACTTTTGCCTAAGTCTTGTCACGTTTTTCTAAGAAAAATGTCTCAATTTTTTTTCTGTATTTAACAGAATTTATTTATGCAACCTTTCATGTAATAAAAGGTTTTAAGTCAAAAACATTTGCATAGAAAATAAATTCATATTGCAAAAAAATAAGGTTTGTATCTTGTTGAGCCATGGATCTAAAAATATTTAAGTGGCATCATGCGGTATATGTTTAAACTGTTGGGTTTTTGCCCAACCCACATCTCATTTTCAAAATGATTTGTGCATTTTGGCAATGTGTGTTAAATCCATGAAAACTTAATTTGAAAAAATGTTTTCTAAAAAGAATTCTGATGATTGTTATGCTTCTTTGGTAGCTGTCTATGCACATTATTGAAAATAATCAATACTTCATAATGGTTTAATTGTACAGGTTTATTTAATTTATCTAGAGTAATACTTCCCTTCCTGTGTTATGGGTTTAAAAGCATATTTTTTTATCAACCCATAACTTCTGAGATATTCTGGTCAAGTTAAAAAGTTTGTTAATGACATCATTAATAAATGGAAATGCATTAAAACAGTACCTGTGAAAACAAAATATTTATTAGAAAATAAAGCTCTTGATCTCAGACATTCTGATCAGGAAATGCCAGCTTAAACATCTCTAGTTCTCTGTCTTATTTCACCCTAGTGGCTAAAAATACTGTGCTCTTTTGAGAAAACAGAGAGAGGATGAAATTAGGACTTGAGTTCAAGTCTTTGCTGCATATACAATTTCTTTGTGTTTGGTTGGTTGGTTGTTTTTTCATTTCTTGAAATATTAACAGATATTTAACAGACTGAGGTATTTAAAGTAGCTGTTGTTTTTACTGTTTATGCTCTCAGCAGGTCAAAGTTGTATTTTTTTTTACAAGAGAAAGAAGTCAAAATAGAATGTAGTATTCAAAATGAGGGTATTCCCAGAGTTGCACAGTGCCACAGGAGTTTTGGCGGTGGTCAGTTCTGAGTTACTGTAGAGCTGAATGACATGCAGGGATCCAGGGCTTGCTTTTCTCAGCAGTAACAACTACTGGTAGTCGAAGCACAGCGAAGGAGTAAAGTCATCTGGTCTATAATTAATACTGGAATTTGGCTCCAGTGTTGGCTGAAAGACTTGAAGAAGAGGAGGTCCTGTGATGTTCTTCACTATTTTTTTCAGTTGTTAGTCCTTGGTACTTCAAAGAACAATTGAAACAGCCTGGCTGTGGCTTCCTGCAGGGGGATGGCTCACAGAGGAAGCTTCCAGACTCGGCTGGGACTGAGCTGCTATGAACCAAAGAGACGTTTGGGAAGGAACCTGGTCTGATCTTGCATGCTTAAAATTTACCTTTCAAAACTGGTTGTAATATCCAGGTCCACGGGTACAGCAAGAGAGTCTTCATCCATCTTCCTAGGACTCCCTGGCCGAGATCCTGGATTTCCTCACAGTGGTGGCGTTAGGTGTTAGAGAGATGAGCTGCTGACGCAGCCAGCAAATTCGCCATTCCTGCAGGAATAAATCTTGACAGAAGTGTTTGTGGTATTTGTAAGAACTGTAATTCTGTGCTGTAACTATATTTTATTTGGAACAAGGTCTGAGAAGCTTGGTTATTCATATGCTCAAGTCTAAATCATGTTTTTTTGAGGGAGAAAAAAAAAAGACTACCGCTGTTTAGACCACTTTGTTACATAAATTGTCAAAAAACAACCTCACAGTATGAAAGGAGTTAGATAAATTTTGGGACAAAACTGTTCACTGTTTGTTTAAAATACTTTAAAATTGCCATTTACAGGTCCTGCTTTCTAAAGCCATTTGAGTTGCAATAAGCAATATTGCAGCCTTCAGATTGTGGACAATTCATCTCCTCAGTTCTACTGACTACAAAAGTGGTTTTGTGTTATGTTTAATGAGTTCTACAGTCAGATCATGTACATATTGAAGATCAAACACAATTTTTAGTATTACTTCTAGTACTAACTGGATGTCGATGGTATGTTATATTAACCTAGGAGCATGGTGTTCTCTAGTTTACTTAAGCTTCCAGTAACATAACTTTTAAATTTTGAATGCAGGGTATACTCTAAAGTAGCTTAGTACTTGTCAGCCCCCCCAAAAATACATGAGCGAGGGTGGGCACTTCAAGCTCCAATAACAGTTTAAGGGCCTCTCTGTCATTAAATTGGTATTGTGAATTTAAAAGAAGACAATAGCTTGTCTTCATTCACCATTCTTAGACTGCTTTATCTTTTACTGTTGAGGAAAGCATAAGGCTAATTTTCTCAGAGTATCCAAAAAAGCAGTTATGTGAGCAGAGAATTCACTCCCCTTACTCTAATAACATACAGAGAGCAGGAAGACTTGTCCTTCAATTTACTTTCAGTGAGATTTAGTATGTTTTTTAAAGCTGTTTTGAACTTGTCAAAATAATTTTTTAAGAAATGCCGAAGTCATAATGCAGAATAAAGGGGTATTTTAATTAAAACTACATAAGACATGAATTGGTAGGTTAAAAGTGTCATGAGCGAAGTATTACTTTATATACTGGAAAAACGAGGTCAGTTCAAAGATGTTCTGCTTTTTTTATGTTTTCCTCAAGCTGTAATTTAGCTGAGATTTTCTTGTCTACTCATGAATGTCATCAAACTTTTTCTTCTAAATTAAAAAAAAAAAAACAAAGGGAGAGGGTGCAACTTAAAACCTTAGTGTTGTTGGGGAAAATGTTTTGTTAGCCTGTAAAACAGACAAGTCCATTAAGAAAATTAACTGTCACATTTTGACTGTTCAAGCTATGTCCATTTCGACTTCCCTTTTTCCATTATTTTGTGAAATAAAATGGGCCCCAAAATCTTTCTTGTGGGAGAAAATAAGGTGCAACATTTCTTAAGAATATGGGGCGGGGGGGGGAAGAGCAAGGATGTGGAAGAGGATGCCAAGCTCCAGGAAATGAGAGAATTTGTCTTCAGCGTCGGGTGCCCGTGACAGGTAAGGAGGTGTGGTGAAGGCTGTTCTCACAGGGGGCTGCTGGCACAGGGGTGTGGTGCAATGCTGGTTGTATTTAACTTGGTCACTGGTATTGCTCCTTAATTACTTACCAAAATGTGCTTTCTCCCTTTAAAATTGGAGGTCCCATGGCTTTTTTTCCAGTTCCTTACCTATTGCTTTTGGAGGTACTTTATGCCTCAGGTGTGAAATCTCTTGTGAAATGTCAGATTCTAGGCTTTTTCTATAATAAAAAGCTGTGTAAAAATTCCTTTGGTACTACCTTACCTAAAACTTGGTATAACTTGAAGAAGATTCCTTTTATTTTCAAGTCTCCATGGATAAGCTCATTCCATCCCATAAAGACTGGAAATTTTCAGCACCCTTTTTTTTGCCCTGCGGTAATACTTTAGATAATTGGAGAGATACTCACTGATTTAAAAGGGAGAAGAAGAGTAAGATGGTTCATATAGTCACTTAGAGATGCTGCTCCTATATTGCCTGTATTTATTCTGCTCAGTACTCTTAGTCTCATTAGGCTTTTCTTCTTTTTCTCCTGCTCTAGTTACAGGTTTTTCATTTTTTTTCTCTGGCACTTCTGAACTTCATTGATTATCACATGTGGTGTTAACCATTTAGAAAAGTATAATGTCAAAAATACATCAAAAATTTACTTTATATCTCTTGCATAATGCATCAAAAATAATCTTTAAAGGATAGCTTGGCTGAAGGAACAATGTGCATACCTACAATAAAGAACAAGCGTGCAGCATGCTGCTTGCCTTCTTCCTACCTTGGAATAATGAGTTACAGGACAATTGCAAATTTAATGAGGTTAATCAGTCTTAGATTTGTTAACATTTCTTTCTGATTGCCTTTATTTTGTACTGCCTTTGCTAGGAAGAAGCCTCGGTGGAGTTTTACAGGTTTCTGAATTTAGATAAGGAGATCTCGTGTATGCCAATGTGCCCTCAGAGGAGCCACAGTGGTACTATT